ATCATACGAGTGCAAACGATTAAAATATCTAAAAATGGTTGAAAAAATACAATATTTTCAAAATGAATTTTATTTAACAATAAAGTAGACATCTCTAATTAATCCTCATAATTAATTATAATCAACTATAAACTGTGTTTAAATTAAAATAATAATGAAAGAATAGTATTATTCTTTGATTAATTATAAAGAATTTTATGTTTATATGATAATTTTGAAAGTTATGGCATAAAATTGTTTAAATTATGGAACGCAAAAAATCAATTATAATTTATTTAATTTAACCGATACTTTAAATGACTTTAGTAATGGCATCTTTTTGTTGCAAATATGTCACTTTGTAGGCTATTTTTATCGTAGTAAGTAGTTACTCGAGCTCTAACTATTCTACGTGAGTTCGCAAAATACTAAAAAGTATTGTTTTTGGACTCGAAACGGATAAATCAAACAATCGAGAATCTACTTGTTATACAATTTAAATTAAACATAGTTCTAATTTTTCTTATAGCTCTTTTATTTATATTTTGGACTTTTAAAAATTATTTCGACTTAATATTAATTCGAAATAATTGAAACTGTATAGTTTCAATAATAGAGCGACGTTACTGAATAGGATTTGAATTTAAACGCCTATTGTTTAGTTAAAGGTCGTAGTAAAACTGCTGACACGCAACCTCACAGTAGGTATAAAATAGTTAATACGTACATAGGTTTCGAATTAATTCTAACACGCAAGATGTTTGCTAATTATCGAGCTTTTAAATGCACATTAATAGTAAAATACTTTGAAAAACAGGGTCACTAATAACGAGAACCGTAAACAGCTTAAATAGTCTATGGCTTTATTACATATAAAACAGTACCATTAATTTCATTCGCAAAATGGCTTAAAGTTGCTAAGTATCGGTAAACAATCAGTATACTTAGCTAGTCGATTACTAATTTTACTAGGTTTTTATACTTCGATCGAAGGACCTATTTTAATTTAAAGAGATTTTACACGTTTTTGATAAAAAGTTCAAAAATTGACATTGATTTTATAATATCGTATTATTAACATAGTTAATTGGGGTTGCAGCACAGTCGTGACGCGGCGTATAAATAGTAAAGATGATATCTGACAGTGGTTCAAATTACTTCATAAAAAATGATTCGATGTGAATTTGTAGATAGTGTTTGATTTGTACAAAGGATTTATAAATTATTCCAAAAGTAACATCAATAATATATGAATACTTATCGTAGATATTAATTTTTGAAATAAAATGGATATTATATAATTTATATATTATAATCTTTACGGAGAAATCATTAAAAAAATTTTAAATGGTTATATACCTAGTTATCTCTATGGTAAACGCGTATCAAAATTTTAAGTATTGATTTACTAAAAAAAATGAATAATTCTGACACTTATAATAAGTATTCCACTGTTTTTTTTTTTTTAATTATCGTTACTCGTCTTTTTAGAATTATGTTAATATCTTAAAATATGAATGTTATAAATGTTATTTGTAAACGTAGTATGAAATTACAGTGTGATAATTACGTCGTGCTATCATATAATGTGTTGTCACGTGAAAAAATAACAAATTATTTAAGTTTCTAGGACAAATTTGCTCTAGCCTATTCACTTAAGTAAATAGTTATATTTTGCTGGGTTAAAATTGTTATGTAATCTAAAACTGTAACAAGAGTATCTAATAATGAGATTGAAAAATTCATGATCTAAGACATATTTTCAATTTAATGTCTTATTATAATGTTAAAGAAAATAAAAAGATCATTTTAATTGTGAATAAGGAGGTGAATTTTGTACACGTGTAAATGAAAAAAAATAACGTTTGGTGGTTTTTAATCTTAAAATTAAATACATTTTGTTGAAATCAGTTAAATATATACTCTACCGAGGTACTCGAACAAAGTGAATAATTTATGATTTTTTTAAAAAATTGCTTAATTGCTTAATAATTAATTTCCAGAGTAGCCTTTGAAATTCGATAAAATTATTACTTATTAAAATAGGATTGGTAACAATACTTATTTTTTTTTCTTAAACTTAAGCTATCAGCTATGCCTCCAATATATAAATAAACCACTGACTATTAAAAAAAAAAAAAAAATTAGCAGCTATTTATTACGGAATCATCTGTTAACTATTATTACACGAATGAGATAAACACATTGTATATTGAAAATATTTTATAAATTTTAGTTTTTTTTTTATATTTACTTTTAAATTTTGGTTCGTATATTTTCATCGCTGGTCGGGGCAAGTAAAAGGTCAATTTTCAAAAAATGATATGTATAATTGAAAGAAAATACCTAAGGTATTTATACAAAAAATTGTTTTGATACATCTATTTTTAAAAATGTCAAGTTAGTTTTAAGTAAAAAAAATGTCGATTTTTACAGATTTAGAAATCGTAATTTGTGTAGGGAATTCCTACACAAATCCTTGTGGAGAACGAGAGAAATTTTTTCTTTTTTTAGGGTAATGTATATAATTAGATTCGATTTGTGATCTTTTGACGTATTGTTAAAAAAATCGGTCTGATGAAAGCTGAAAAAAGTGGTGACTGGCACATAAATTTAAAACATAATAGTAAAATTAATACTTTCTCAGCTTCACATCACAGCTAATAAATATTTAATGCATGTTTTTTTTTTTTTTTAAGAGAACACGTTTTCTTTTTGCAATTTTACAATTTGAAACCTCCTTTTTTTGGTCAATTTTCAATTTGATGCGATATATCTATAGATTCATATCCATCCTTAATATTATGTATGATTATGTTTAATAGCTTCAATTTAAATATACCTAATGTGCATTGAGTTGTTAAAAAAAACTTTAAATAAATACCTAATTAAAGAAAATTTGTATGTTTAAGAACATTAATTTCTTAATAAAGCTTCAGTACAAAATTAGTATTAAATTTTAATTATTGTTGAATAAATTCAGTAAGGTTTTGTTATACTATATACAAGTTTAGTTAATAACTTTAAAAAGTAAATAAAAAAAACCATTATCCCTTTATCAAACCAAGATTTCTTAATAAAATGACCTTTGTATAACTTCTTTTAAACCTAAATAAATATTAAAGACTTAAATATTTTGAGTTAAACGAATGAAAAATTATGAAAAAAGATTTCTATTATTGTTTATATATTAGGTTTGTTTGTTATTTAAAGTAGTTTTAATATTTGATAGTAGCCACTTCATCAACATTGACTTTATGATTATCTTTATTTAAAAATCATACTGAATTTAAATTTTATTGCTTCACTTTTTTTTTTGGCATAGTATCGTTTTTTCAATATCTTTTTAAGAAATATTACTCTTAATATATATATATATATACTCTACAAGATATAATAATTTTCATCTTCCTAAAAATTACTTGGATTTATTATTTAATATTAATTTGTACATTATAAAATCTTGATGAATTATTGAGAAGCTTTATAATAATTGAAATGATTTAAATATTTATTAACTTAATGGTTATCTAAATAAATTAAAATATATTATATTGATACAAACGAAAATGTCACTAAAATATCTGTAAACAATTTATCTGGCCATAAATAATCTAATGCTGATTGCAATATTAATACCTCTTTAAATCTATTAAATAAAAAATGCTGATTATTGACCATCCATTCAGCATTTAATGAATACTCTTATTTTCGTTATATAGTTTTAATTTAAAAATTTAATATAAAACACAACGATACAAAACGTTTGCGGGTGCAAACTGACGTTTTAAAACGGCTGACGGAAAGTGGCAGCGGTAGCAAAATGAAAACAGAGTTTACTTACGAACGCACGCAGAGGGTACCACGAGAAGAGGTAATTTCATGGCCTGGAGTCTGAATGAACCGCTTTTAAAGGCTTTTTAATCCAGATGACTTGGTTTTCGAAGTCCCCTCAAAGGTTATCAAAGGCCGGTGTCCTGTGCGCTGGTTGTTTTTCCGGTTCTAGGGAAAAGCTAATAAAATGCTAATTCACTGTTTGCCGCCCAGTAATGAAGAAGTTTTAAGCACACCAAACGACAGCTTAACGTTACTGATGTGATGTTGACGCCATAAACAGCAGAAAGGGGCGCGGTGAAGAATAGTCGAGTACGATAAATGAAGAATCTCTGAGAATACACAGCCCTTTGTCAAATAATTGTAATTAATTGGGTTTGGTGCTGTTTATATTATACATGGAAAGTAGCTAAACGTTCACGTAACTTTCGTCAACAAATGAATTTTAATTCTTCGACAGATCGGTTTTTTTCCGACAAAAATAGCATTAAAATAAATTACCTATGCTTAATTTTTTTTTATTCTAATTATCCTATAAATTGCAGTATACCTTTAGTAAGACCTTTATCTTCCGGTCTTTGCGCTTGTTTATTATTTAAATTTTAAAACATAAATTAGCAGTTGAATTAATCATGGTGTATATTTTATAATTATTTCAATAAAATACTCGCAGATTCCAAATGACTAGTACATTATTATTAAACAATTGTAAGAAATTACAATACATTTTATATTACAGTAAAAACAACAAAATATCTAAATCTAGTATTTCTATTAATTTTTTATGGTAATAATATTTTTTTCACAATTTTTTTCATATTTACGTAACAAAAAGTGTACATGTATTTTTTGCACAATCTAATTACGTATTTGATTTTTACAGTTAAAATAATACTGAGGTGTTATGAACAGTTATTTATACAATTTATAGTTATTAATAATGTTTGCCTTTTCGATAATTTTATTATTATTTCTATATAGTATTTACATACATGACAATGTTGCACTTTGCAATACTTTCTAAGATATGTTATGTTACATAATTAATGATTTATATCAGTTTATTAAACAAATAATATTATAATACATGCCATGAAAATATTACGATAATATATTCAGATTTTACATTACTTTTTACATGATTAATCGACACCAAATGCTGAAAACATTCCACGGGTATCGAAAATTTAAGTAAGTTACTAATAATAGTTTACAATCGGGTGGGTTTGGTTGTTCAAAGTGTCAATAAACACCGTACCGCATTTATTCGGAAATTCGAATTCGCTATGTTTTACTGTGTTGGTGTAATAACACCAAACTCTAATACTCTTATGTACATACAAGACGAGATTTTAAACCATTTGCATCCCCTTCGTAATAGACTCCATGTGTTCCTTTGCTTTGAGCCTCAGAACTGCTATTGAAGACGATCTGGGGTCATTCGCAGCATGTTGGGTAGACGAAGTAGTGGATGATGTGGAAGATGGTGATGTTACGGAGATTTGTTGAGGAGACGGTGGTGACTTTATTGATGATGGACTGTGCACCACAGGAGGAGTTAAGTAGCTTGGGTAACCGGTCTGTGGATGAGATAGGAAACCGGGTAGAGCGCTAAGCAATGGTGGTGATAGCCATGGATCTACCGGTAAAGCTAAGCTAGAGCCGGGCATTCGTCCAAGCGATCCTGACATTGTAGAATGCACGTAATCATTGAGGCCCAACCTGGCAGCTTCCATTTTTTCTTGTCTGCGCCATTTGGCTCTTCGATTTTGAAACCAAACCTAGATAAAAAAGAACCGAATAATAATTACTATTTTTATTTTTAATCCGTCGTACAAAAATAATTATTATTTCTATTAAAGTTGACGTTATTTATGGTTAGAAAGCTTTTCAACTTAAAACTAGAATTTTTGTAAATCGTCTCCTGATAAGTAACTAATTTTGAGTTGTACGAATATAACATGGAGTATTTCCATTAATAAAATATAAAAGAGCACTCTTTAGAATGAAATACATTTTGTGGCTGCAGAAATAAAAACTCAAGTAGCTTAATTCCAATAAACGTTTAAGAAAACTTGTATTGTGTTCATAAAAAAATCGCTTGGATATTTTTTCACCATTTAGTTACTCAATTGATAATAAATTAACAGGGTGTAAGAAGTCTTCATGCCTCGTCATTTCGTTTAGGTGTCCAAAAAAAAAAAAAACGATTTTTTTATATTAAACATAAAAGATAGTGTAGTCGAGAAACAGGGTGGAAATAAAATAAAAATAAAAGTAAACTTAATAAAGCATGGCAAAGTATAAAACTAGGCTGTAGCTTGTTGAGAGATGAAAATAAATTGATCAGTATACAAGCTATAAAGGTATAAGAGTGAAGGAGAAGGAAAACAAAATACCTTCCGTTATTCACTTTGTATATCCATTTTTCTAGAACATAACTTAGTTTACCGATTACTAGAATGTAAAAGGATTTCAATGTGCGACCGTCATAAATAAATATTATATATTTTTTTCTTGTTTAACTAAAAATATTGAAGGTAAAAAATTGTTTTTTTATTACAAAAGGTCGAAAACACCTTTGATGTCTGCATTTATTTGATGCGTGATTTTTGTTTTACAACATGGAGTATTATCATGTTATTTTTTTAAGTTATAAAATGTCACGGCCATTTTGTGATTCATCTTATTAATCGAGTTGCTTAGTTTATCATGTTCTAATGAAATGGAAATACATAATATCGAGTAATAATCTCAAGGCATTACGGCAGGTTGAAAACCATTTAGCAGTTTTTCCGCAATAAATAACTTGAGCAACGACGAGGGTTATATTTTTTTTAAATACATATTTTCCCTTTTGAACCGGTAATGTAATTTACAGTGTAATAGGTTTTGTGGAATCTCAACGATAGCGGTACATTCAAACCTCGTTACTTAATTTTCTCTTTTTATTTTCAATTTAAGTTGGACGAATACAATAGCTAAAAGACTTAGTTATAAACGTTAAACATACTTCACAGATTAAGTGAATGTATTTCATGTCAAAAGTATTGTTTATGTTGCTATGTAGTTTTCAGAACCATATTAATATCATAGGTGCAAGAGAGGAGGCTTAGCTTCAGACTGCAAAAATTTCTAGACAGTAAAAACTAATAGAAAAATCTGTTTTTTTTTTATTTCAATTACCATATTCTCTTGATTTTTAAAAATCAATAAACTAATTATTTTTTTGGGTCCAAGAGATAAAAGTTTATTTTAAACTCATATCTAGACTTATACGTTGAAATAACTTTCTATTGACATAGAAATTATTTTTTTACGTATCACATTGTCATTGTATTTTCAAATTTTTTATCGTGTCGTATATTATACTGTATTAATCACATGTCATATTATAGTTACAAACTATATTATATTTGCAACTGAATAATAATTAATTAATAAATAAACTTTGTTTTGTTGAATTATATACAAGGTGAGAATAGCTTAGAGCTAATTTATTTCTTTTAGAATAATTACCTTCATATTATCTATTAACCGTGAAGTATTCAATTTTTTTACGTCCATTTTAAATTTAGTTTGATAAAAAATAATGTTATTATAAATCTGCTCTATGACGCTGCGAGGTCTTTGGTCTCGTAGAAAGGGGTTCGTCTCAGCGAGGGGTACTAACTGATTATGTGTTTTTCTCCATTTACTTATCCGATTTCGTCGTTATAATAACATATAATATAGTGTCACGGTAAAAGGGTCCGACGATTAGGGTTAGCGCATTTTTTTCAGACGATCTCCTAGGGTATATAAGGTACATATGTATACATCCTCTGTATTGAGTAATGGAAAAGTGACAGTAACAGCCTGTCAGAATGGAGCACTGGGGTTACATGAGGACGCGAGCAATGTTTAATTCACTAGTGCAACACGTCCGACTCATTATTACTACACTTGTATTGTGTACACATAAAGGGTTCTAGAGTCGTCTGTAAAAATTCACCGCCAAAAATTAGTTTTCATCACTTTGTGCGAATTTTTTGTACACATTAGAGCGCGGCGCTTCTTCAATATCATATTTTAATGCAATGTTCTCAGTACCTAACCGTCTATTATGTTGGCGAGTACCTCTATCTTTCATCTTCAGTATCTTTTACCAGTCGATATTTTTGTCAATATTACATTTACATTACAACTATATATTCCGAGTTTTGTTATTCTTTTGCTATTGATAATGTATCTTTTCTTTGTATTATTATCCGCCGCATCGCTATGCGGTTCAAATTACCCGTCCGACAAAAAACAACCGTATCGCGTTTCTTACACACGCCTATTTTAACACCGATACACCCACGTGTTGTACAAAAACCGTCAAATTTTACAGACGTTATATGAAAATTAAGAAGATTTTTTTACACCAGTACCTTATTTCTCGCGAATTTATTCTGTACATAAACGATATGAAAAGGTGAATTTTCGACGCGTATAAACTAACGAGAATATCATAAAAAAAACCCCTATCTTCTTTATAAAAACTCTGTCAATCGCAATAAAGGCTTCCGGAACAATAAACGTGTATTGATGTGCGACGACGGTCGTCCAGTGAGAGCAGCGAGTGTTTAATGTGCTTTTAAAAATTCAATTTATACGTCGTTTCAGTTTTGCAAATAAAAATCAATTTCTCATTTTTTAAACTTGCAGTATAAGTTATAACTATAAGTTCAGTAGTACACGTAGTTTGAGTTAACGTCATTTTTGTTTTGCTCTAAAATACATATGAATCAAATAAGACTTATAGATTTGATACATAAGAAAAAAAACAAACTGATTAAAATCACAATGGATGAGCTACATTTGTTAACTACAATTAAATTATAATTATAGTTCTTATACTAAAGAGGGAAGAAATGATTTAACACCCAAGAATTTGATTCAAATCAGATCTGTGATGGTTTTTGATATGTTTTTCTGCATAACTAATAGTGTTCTTAATATTATTTCAACATTTTTAAATGAATCGTTAAAATACAAGAAATGCCGTATTGTTGTTTAACATTGACATTAATATTGCTGATTAAATTCAATGAAAGATTAACACTGTATAATATAAAAGTTAATATTGTCATTATGAAATCGAAAACACTTAAAAACCACGGAATTTACAAAGATAATTGTTATTTACTGAAGCTGAGTCTTTTTTTCTGAACCTCTTGGCCAGTGTGTCCGACTGACGGGTTAAATATCCGGGGCTAATCGAGTTGCCAAAGGAAACCAATTTGGCCGTGAGAGAAAAGCAAGCTGCTTCCTGAGCAATTGATCTTAAACCCTTTTTTTCAATTTTCGACCAATTGATTTTGCTACTCACGTTGACAGGCAGTTAATTTCGGGCAAAAACGATTCGGTGTTGTTATACATATATATTATTTATTATCGCGTACCCAGCAAAGCCATAAGCCACTACTACCATCATCATCATTTCCTCCACTTCCACCACCACCGACACTACCCACTGCTACTTTTACCGACCACAATGCTTTGTAGCAGATGAAATGGAAACAAACAAAATGCTGGTTCAAAGGAGCGTGTTCGACATTTAATTAAAACCCAATCGAGCGCCGGCGAATGAGATGGTAGTTTCACTATGTTTATATTTGTTGGCACTATACCTTTTGCAGTATAATAAATTCAATTGGTATGGTACAATATGCATTTTAATAGAGTTGAACGTTTGGGTTTATTGGAAATAATTTATTATATATTTGTACGACTAACTCGTGGAAACGTAATTTAAATTATAATTTTATCGCGTTTAAAATGTACAGTTAAATTTGAGATTTCGGTTATCTTAAAGACCATTTTTTAAGTTTATAATACTAAATGATAACATTAAGTAAACCCGTCTAGATTAACATTTGGACTAGCTCATTTTCAACTTATTTTATTTGAACGGACAAATTGACTAATTGAGCCATAACAAATTATTGATATTTGTCATAATAAAATTAACTTTGTTTGGATTATAATTGAATTGTTTCAAAAATTCGTGTATAAAATTATGCGCATCGAATCGACGTAAGCGCTATTTTTTCAAGATTTTTGTTATTGTTATAACTATAGGTGACATATAAATAAGTTTATACTTCAACACGCCCGTGTTGTATTATGAATTCATTTGGGAATTTCAAATTGATTTTTTGTAATACATTTTTTTTTTTTTTAAGTAAAACTTCGAGAGCAAGAAAAATATTATTTACGTAATAAGGAGGACATAGTCAGTTGCCGTGTAAAGAAAAACGGCAATACAAATTCGTCACTGTAAAAACTTACTGGCAAACGTTTAAATCGACATTATTGAAAATCCGAAGTTTTTTTCGCGAAACGCTTGTCAGAGTAATATTAAAATAATTTGATATAGTTGTTTGCTTTCACACAGAAAAAAAGTCTTTTGTACTTGGCTTGTTCTCGTCGATGTTTGTGGGAGGAAAACGTCGATTCAGTTAAAACACAATAATGGTTGCCTAATACAAGCGGTTCGTATAATTAAGCCAATCGATTTTCTTACCGAACTGGTGACATTTCGTACTTGCCCTCACCGTGTGCTGGTGGCTGTTGCGACGTTCACATGCAGATCATTGCACAGCGACCCGACCTCCCGGCGGCAGCAGTTTCCCCATTAGACCCGAGGCTACTACTAATATAATAGGAATTAGTTTGTTTCTTGTTTGTTTATGTCAACTTAATAACTGCAATAAGACCGCGTCGACCGTAGCCACGTGCCGCACACACACAA